ATAATAATAAAAAGGGGGTGGGGCATGGCTCAAGCACTAGAGCACCTTCCCAGCAAGCACAAAGCCCAGAGTTCAAACCCCAATACCACCAAAAAAAAAAAAGTTACAAATCCATAAGAAAAAAAAATTAGTTTTAGGTTCCCACTCCCGGAGTGGGATTTCCGATGCAGAAGTCACATTTTTAAAAAGAACCACAGAATGTGAGTTTAATGTACAAATCGAGAAGTGTTATCTCTGTGTGAGGTTCATTTAGCCCAGCCACAGTGATTATAGGTGTTCAAATTCCATAAATCCAAATGTCACAAAAGCTTTAAAATGGCCAGGCATGGTGGCTCATGCCTATAAATAATCCCAGCTATTGCAGAGGTGGAGGTCAGGAGATTCCAGTTTGAGGCCAGCCTAGGCAAAAAGCTAGAAAGACCCCATTTCAGCTGGGTGTCGTGGTGCATGCCTGTCACCCCAGCTACACAAGAAGTTAAAAAGGAGGACCATGGTTCAGGCCGGCCTGGGAAAAAGATGCCAGACCCTTTCTAAAAAACAACTAATGCAAAAGGGCTGGGAGCGTGGCTCAGGTGGTAGAGCACCTGCCTCGAAAGCAAGAGGCCCTGAGTTCAGACCCCAGTACTGCCAAAAAACAAAACAAAGAAACAAAAGCTTCTAAGAAGAGCATGATCCCCACAGGGTTGGGAGGAGTAACGCTTTAGTAAGAGCCGAGAGTGGACCGTCATTTGAATTTGAAACACGTGGGAATGGTTCTGTCCAGCACCAGTGAGAGCTATGAAACGAAATGACTGAATCAGTGACGAAGTCGAAGAGATCAGACGCTCAGAGCTAAGTGTGTGATGGACAGGGACGACAACTACAGAGCCACAGAGTCCGGGGCCCGGGGTCAGGCGGGCCCAGCACCCGCTGAGCTCTCAGGCAAAGGAGAACGGCTGGAGGAGGGGCCTGGTGCCTGAGCCAGGTGCTCACAGCAGGTGTGCGCACGGCGGTGGGAAGGCCCCACTCTGCTCTCCCTGCCCTGTGCACGTCTGAAAACCTCCCTTGGAGACTCAGAACCTCTAAATTACGCTCAAATGGAAAGTGACTTAAAATACTTCTGTCCTACCCTGCTGTCTGCAAACATCAGGTCACGGAGGTTGGAAGGCATCTGTCCACACTGAAGGATGTGCTTGTGGAAGGCACAGAGATCCTGTCTGTAAGCGCAGACGTGAGCAGAGGACACGGAACGGCCATGCCAAGTGGATAATAGCACTCTGCAATACTTAGGTTGTAACCAATGCGAACATTCACGATTGATGGATGACCAATAAAATACTTCGCAGCACAGGAAAATACTCTGATTTGGTATTTTCTCTTTGGGTTTATTAGCGTCTTGAGTGACCTGATGGCCTGAGATGAGGAAGCCTGGTTATGGTGGCCTGTTTTGACCTGGCTTACCTGTCCTGGACATCTGGAAGGGTGAACACCAGTGCCTGCCGGGGCACTGTGCCTTTTCTGTGTTGGAGAAAATTCAGTTCTAACTTGTGACTCCCAGTGGAGCAAGTTTTTCTCTCTCTAGCCTAGTCATGATCTAGACACAGAAGAATCTCAGTGCCTTTTAAATTTTATTGTGTGGTTTTCTTTTTTTCAAAAAAAATGTTCTTGGTTGATTTTGGAAAATAGAATTTATGACTAGAACACAACCATAAGTAAATAATACACAGCAGCACAGGTGATTCTGATAGAACTATTTGGGGACCACAATTTAAAATGGCATTTTTTGTTATTGAAAAGCAACTCCCTCCTTTTCGAGATGCATGCTGGCAAGTTTCTGTGTGGTCCTTGGGGTGGGGATAGTGTTGGTGCAACATTCACAGCAAGAGTGGCCTTGAAGTGACAGCTGATGCTGCTGGGAGGTAAGCACATGTGGTTTCATTACCCTATATGGTGTAACATTTTCTATAATAAAGGATATATTTTTTTAAAAAGACCAGGGTGCATTTCCAAGGAGGAGGGGAACAGGAGGGAAGGGACAGAGGCAAGCAGCAGCCTATCGTGGCTCAATGTGGCTGAGGACCCCAGTGAAGGCCAGAAGGTGACACCATGCAGAGGCTTCTTGGCTTTGTGACCAAATATGAGTCTCTGGGTGATGGGGAAACACAAGGGTACTTTGAACGCTGCCAAGAAAGAGCTGAATTTGTGCCTCAGCCTGCCTGACTCCTCCGGAGGCTGCGCCAAGGATGGTTTAAGAGGATCAAGTGAGGACAAATTAGAAAACTGGTGTAGATGAGGTGAGTGAATTCAGGGCCTGGACAGATATAGCAGTAGTGGAGATGGACAGAAGGAACTGGGACCAAGACAGATTTAGTACCTACCATCAGGCCAACTCTGTGGGCAATTATATATACAGGAAGACCCCGAGAAAGAGGCAAGAATGACTCTGGGCTTCTAGCTTGGAGAACTGAACAGACAGCAATCCTACTAACAAGAAAGAGCACATAGAAGAGCTAGCAGCTGACATCTAGTTGAGTTTTGAGAACAAAAGATCCTGCTAGGATCCATTGTTCCAGTCTGAGAATTTTATGGCCTTCCTGTGTGACACCACACAGGCGCTCAAATCTCCTTCCCCTACGGGATCCCAAGAGACAGAGCTGAGGGAAGGCTCCAGTCACACAGAACCTAATGCCCTCTTTGTACATTTGGGAGGTACTTGTCTAAAATCCTCAGGATCTTTTCAATTTTTACACTGTCTGTAACTTCAAGTGAAGGACAACTCTATTTCTCTCTCCCTCTCTCTCTCTCTCTCATTAGTCTTTACTCCATCCATCATCCCATTGCCTTCTCAAGTGGAAACTCATTTCTTAAAATCTCTAAACTGTTTGCTTCTTCACCCTTTGAATAATCCTACTGTAAAATTAACTGAAAGTGACTTCCTCGTCAACCCTCTTCTCAGTCCCCACAGTTTTCCTTGGCTTTCTGTGTCATGTGAATCCTGGTCCCTTTTCTCCTCTGGCCTGTGTGACATAGAGCTTTCCTGGATCTTATTCCCTCCTCTGTTCACTCCTTCACCCCCTCCTGTTCGGGTTGCCCATCCTCCTCTAGCTCTCTGAGCTTCCTTCATGAGCCGAGCGCTCTTCCCTCTTTACTCAGTCACTCTGGGGTCAGTCACAATTCCAGCATCCCCTCCTTCCCTCCTTCCCTCCCTCCCTGACCACAGTCCACGTGGAAGTCTGAGTGTCACAAGTGTGATGGCCGGCGCTCTTGGCTCAAGTCACTAAAGGCACAATGCCTTCTCCAAGGGCCCCGGGGCCTCACTGCTGGGCTGGACCACAGTAGGAAAAGGGACAATGACGAATGAGAGTGTGTTCTGAAAAGAGTGATGAGGTTGGGAAGGGATGTAAAAACAACAGAGGAAAACTGCTGAAAAGGCTGAGTGATGACCTTGGAAAGGACAAAGACCTGGGATCCATGACAGCTCCTTCAAGTTTATGAAACTGTGCATGTGGGAGGGAATCAAATGCAGATGGAAGCACAGCACGTGTACAGGATGGCAGTGTAACAAATCCACCCAACGTTGCACAGGGCTGGAGGGAGGAGGGTGCTTATGGGAACAGAACACCAGAGGTGACGGACTTCCTGTAAGTGCACTGTACCCACCTATGGCTTTATCACAATGTGACTCCCATGTACCATTAATGCATGCTAATAAAAACTAGTTTAAAAAACCCAGATATTAGAAGGAGGTATATTTTGGCTCATAGGAGAAAAAAATCTTCCAGATAACTTGGGCTGTTCACTACGAGAGCGAGCCGTGCTTACGCGTGGACTCTGCCCACTGCAGAAGGTGTGGAGAGGGTGTAAGGACACCAGGCCTGCAGTGCTGTGGAGAATTGGTCTGTGGTCCCAGAGTGCTGGAGCTGGGAGCCACCGCTAAGAACTAGGTGTCCTAGGAGAAGTCTCTACTTTGTCTGTGTCCCACTCTCCTGCTTTATAAAGGAAGCAGGTTGGTATTGACCTCTCAGGGAAGTGGGCCAGGGTGCCCCCTTTCCTTGTCTTTGTAGCTAGCTCGTCAGCAGGGCAGACTCAGCCTGTCCATCACGGAGTCAGTTGTTTTGTTGAATGCTGTCGGTCACTGGCACAGCTGCTCTGAGGTCGCCTGCACTAGAAACCTCCTTCCTCTCTGAACCCTCTGTCTCTGCCCTGAGAATGCTTCTTTGATTTGTCCTTGATTCTTCATTTCTACTGATACCGTTACGATCCAGACTCAACATACCACATGAGATAGTCACCACTCGCTTTTTGTTTGTTGACTTTGAGACAGGGTCTCTGTAGGTGAGTTCAGGCTAGCCTTGAACTCACCATCCTCCTGTTTCAGTATCCCAAGCACTGGGATTACAGAAGTGTACCACCACACCTGGCCCTGGATTCTGAATTAGAATGAATCTTAGAGAGATCAAGCCCAGCCTGTGTCTTGTAAGTGAGGAGAAGGAAACCCAAACATAAAACCCTTGTCAAAGGTCACACCATTAGTGCTAAGAGTTCTGAACTCCCCGTGCTCTTTCTGTTCCCCCATACCATACCAGCCCTGGGATGTCTCCTTATTGTCACTCAGACCCTCTGATGCATTTCAACATAACTGGTTTAAAGAGACGGGCCAGGATTTAACCACAAAAAAATGGATTCATTTGTATCATACCATGATTATCAAATGGGCTAATCTAGAAATTATCCCCATCTTTTAATTGTAACAGAGCACACAGTCTGCTTGGAGTTAAACAACACTGTTCTTGTCTGTGCTTCTCACAGGCACTGCCAGAGTTAGGACTGCTGAATTGTGAAAGAAAGAAAACTTGCAGCCAGCACGAGCTCTCTAGAGCCTTCAAATCCAGGTCATCTGGACCTGAATGGATTGCCGTACTCCAGCCGAGTACAAAAATGACATATATCATGTTAACTGGCCACGCCTGAGTCTCCCCCCCAACCCCCGCCCCCGACCCCGTGCAAGGCCCTGGACTCACGTGGGTTCCTCCGTGGCCGTTCTGACCTCTTCAAGTTCCTGGGCTTGTTTCAGCCAAGGTGATTTAGCTTCCACAGGACTTTTCTCTAAGAAAAAAGGAACAAAGAGCTTAATTACTACCGATCACAAAAGAGCTAGATCCACAATCCTTATTGGCTGAAGACTGAATTAACAAAGGGGTTTAATTTTCCAAGTGCAAGTCGTGGCCTTTAGCATGGCCTGCTAAGTGGCTTCTGGAATGAATAAACAGATTCTGCCATTTTTAAATTAATGCATACCCCCCACCCCATACAGTTGAATGTGGCCTCAAAGTAAAATCTAAGAATATACCTTCCGTGAATCTGTACCAATTTGTGTTCTTTGCGGATGAAAGACCTGACTGCAGCAAAATCAGCTTTTGGTGCTGCAAATTCTTCTCTCACACTGAATGCAGAAACGTATAGAGCAAAGCACATAACACAGAGGTTAGGGAAGGGGGAGAAGGGGTCCACGTTAGGATTTATCCAGTGAGTGCTGCTGATGAGGGAGGCAGGGGAGCCCACGGGCGTCTTGCCTTCCTCTGCAGCTCCGTGACGTGAGGGAAGAAGCACTGTGGTTGTAAAGTGAGAAAGCAGGCGTGCTGGGCCGTGTTGGGGTCATTAGAGACGCTAAGACAACAGTCTCACAGTGACCTTGAGTGCATAGCCCTGAGGAGGTTACGTAGTGGACAGGTGTCCTCACCAAACCAGCCAGACGCAGGCAAACAATCACTTGTTGAATGACTAATTGTGAGGCCATTTCTAGATAGTGAAGGCAGGAATCACAAGGGAACATCTTACCATGCTGTCTAAAGCACTAAGGAAGAGTCCTTTCGAACAGGTGGGAATAAACTTTTTCCAGTTCAAGAAAGACGATCTGGTCCTGAAGACCGGCTCGACCTCGCCAAACACATGGGAATAGCGTGGATAGTGAAGGGAGAGGGGATGGAAGGCGTGCTGACCGAGGTGTCCACCTACTCCTGCTGCTCCATGGGAGCAACAGGGAACTACAGGAGGATTTTAAAGGCACTCCTAGGCCTAGATCAGTCACTTGTCCCAAGCACAATGACACACGGACAAGACGACATTGTCCCTCCTCCAAGAAACGCCCACTGCACTGGAGGGGCTGAGAAGCTTGGGGAAAAGAAAGGCTGCCTTACTTCTTCCTTTTCCTCTTCCCCTCCTGCTTTCCCTTTCTCTTCCTCTTCTCCTCCTCCCTCTTGACTTTTTGTTGTTTTGGTTTTTGGCAGCATGGGGGTTTGAACCCAGGGCTTTGTGCCTGGTGGGCAGACGCTCCACCACTTGAGTCCCACCCAAGCCCTTTTAATGCTTCATTAATTTTTCAACTAAGGTCTCAGGCCTCTTGCCCAGATCACCCTTGACCTCGATGCGCTCTGTCTCTGCCTTCTGAGTAACTGCGATTACAGGTGTGAGCTAAAGTGCCCAGCTCTCTTTTTTTCTTGAAGGCAGAGACTGCATCAGATTGTTCTCTGACGTGTTAGTGGAAGCCTACGCAGACCGGACACTGGGGTGGAAGCTGGAAAGCAACATCTGGTGTCCATCAAGACGCACCACCCACTCACCTTTGGGCTTGTGGCAGGGCACAGGAACGACACACTCCTCTTTGATGTGCAGCTTCAGCTGTGGATTGCAGCCCCCCACGTGCTCCCCACGGTGGTTGATACACAACACAACCCTGTAGCGCAGGCCTTGGCCACATGTCACCGTGCACTGCAGGAAAGGGAGGCAGAAGTCAGCGTTTTCACGAGGAGGTCTGCACAGGCACTGTCTTTCCTACTGTACGCAAAAGCTGCTCACCTAGTGAACAGTGATGGCACAGACCTTCCGATAAATACTGTGTGGAGAAGGACTTGGAGGCTGATTTTCTGTGAGGCTTGGGAATCAGGGGTTCAAACCCCACCAATTTTCAATTCAAAAAAATATTTGAACGGGGCACTGGTGGCTCCCTGGTGGCTCCCAGCTACTCAAGAAGCAGAGATCGGGAGGGAAAATAGTTCATGAGACCTTATCCCCAAAAATGCCCAGAGCTGGTGGTGTGGCTCAATTGGGGGAGCACCTGCCTACCAAGTGTGAGACCCTGAGTTCAAATCCCAGTACTGCCAAAAAAAAAAAAGTGTTCGAAGTAAGCAAGAGTAAATGCTCTGAAATCTTAATTTGCTCTGATTCAAATACAAAAGAAACTTGATCTGGGTAAAACGTATAGAACATCACCCAAAACAATTTGTGAAGCTGAAAGAGACACTTCTAAAGAATGAATGTGAAAATTAAATTTCAATCAACCATGCCGGAGGACTTAACTTTCTCTTCTGTCTACAGAAATTGCTCCTGCAAAGCTGTAGTCTTATGAAGAGACCAGCAAAGCGTTTTCAGCCCCGAAGTATGGGAAACACTAGCGGAGGTGCACCAGGCAGTTAAAAATAGCAAAACGCTGGGGTTTTCTCACTTTTTGTGAGTTTGCGCTGTCAGCATTTCCTCCTGGAATTACCTGCTGATGACGTGGAAGTTGCTCTTGCCCTACGAACAGAAGGTGAAGGTTTGGGTTTTCGGTTTTTTGTTTTTTTAGTTTATCTACATATGTTCATAAGTACATACATGTGTTTGGAGTTTTTAAATGGATACACGTGGATCCATTTCATGCCTTTCACATGGCTTTCATGCCTGCCATTCCTTATCTGGGCTCTGTTACCTGCAGTCCACCACAGTCCAGCAATATTACATGGAAACTTCCAGAAACAAGCAATTCATACCTTTCAAATAGCTTTTGTTGCAGCCTATCATTAGTGTTGTTCTATTTTATCAGCAGATATTTCTGTGACTCTCTTCCGTGCTCAATTTTTAAATTGAGCTTTATGGTGGAGATGCCTGCACAGGACAACACACAGGAACCCTGTACCAAACAAGTAGGGTTTGACTCTGTGGTTTCAGCCATCCACAGGGGCCTTGGAATGTGTCCCCTGACACATTGTTACTTAAGCTCACTAGGGTTGCCAGCATTTTATAATTTGTAACTGCTTTTCTTATTCTAAGTAAACACTCCTTCGCTTCAGTATCCACTATTTGAGCTTTTTATATCTTTTCCTTAAACAGTCACCTCCGATCTGTCAGGCCGAGCAACGCCCGGTTCAGCCCTGGGAGGATCTCCTGCTAAGAGGCCAGCTCTGTCCTGCAGCGCAGCCACCTCCTGGTCCCCCAGGCCCACTTGCAGGGCAACAGCCCAGCTCTCCAGCAGCTGTGACTGAGGGCCTTGCTCGAGCCACACAGTCCTGCGAGGCACAATGGAATTCCTCTCAGAGCCTCCTGCTGCCAACCATGGCCTGGCCACTGCTCCAGACAGCTCAGACGTTCCTTCCCGAGTCCCTAAAGGCTGAGGCCTGGGTGTCCCTTGGAGACAAGTTCCACAGACATGTTGCAGGTGATCTGAGGCCTTTCTCTGCCTGCACACATCTCCAAAAGGGCAGAATATCAGGGAACCCCTCTCGCTTCAGTGGACCACTCGAGACCACCAAACAAACCCTCTAATGGAGTGTGTCAACTTCCAGATTAGACCCTGCTTCTGGGAAGTTAAGTCACCCCTGAATTTATGGGAAGTTGACTCACCCCTGAATTTATCAATTTGAAACATATGTGATACTAAGAAGCTCTTTTATATTGGCTAAGAAAGAAACAAAAATGCTTTCCAAAGAGAGAAAACAGAACAACGTACCACCTGTAGTAGACCAGGTCAATGAAGGGAGCACTGTCACCCCTTAAGAAGCCATCTGAAGAGCTGGACACTGACCCAGTGCTTCCAGAACTCCTTTAGAGAGCCGAATATATCCTTACTGAGAGCAAATCCTTATCACTGAGGATAAATTTGATTTTCAAAACAAGCAAAAAGTATCAGGTGCCATGTACAATGGGTGAGAGGAGTTGGCTTGCCGTTGGGATGTTACGAAGATGATGACATCACAATGCTGATGCGTGGGCAGAAAAGCTCTAAAACCAGCCCAAAACAGGAGGCGAACACTCACAGAGCTGACCACTGCTCCAGGGTTCAAAGGTCAAAGCCCCTAATAGCTGGGTAGCAAGGCAATATGGAGCTCCTCTTTGCTTTCAACAAAATTGAAGGACTTCATCAAATTGCTAACTAACAGATCCTTAAAAATATTTTTGAAGCGAGAACACCACATGGGTGCTGGCTTAGGACTCAGTTTCTCTAAGACCGGGGACAAACTCCTTCCACCCCACTTCCATGCATGTCAACAGGCTCTCCAGTTGTGCACGTAGAAGACAAGACACGATGCAAACTCAACGGAGAAATTATCTCAGACCCCATGTTTCATTCTAGCAGTGGACACACAGCTGTTTTTAGGCCTCGTTCATCTTCTAGAAAGATTGATTTAATGAAATGTTATTTACTAATCTTTTTTTCGATAGCAGTAGAATTAGCATCATCAATAGAGTTTTGTTTTTTTTTTTTGGTGGGACTGGGGTTTGAACTCAGGGTTTCACACTTGCAAAGCAGATGCTCTGCTGCTTGAGCTGCACCTCCAGTCCATTTTGCTCTGGTTATTTTTGAGATGGAGTCTCATGAACTATTTTCCTGGGCTGGCCTTGAGTTTCAATCCTCCAGATCTCAGCCTCCCAGGTAGCTAGGATTATAGGTGTGAGCCACCGGTGCCTGGCTAATGAGACTTTAAGCAGAGAAATGCATTAGATTACGGTAAAACTCTATGGGAGATTAGACTGAAAACGAGTTCAAAAGGAGAAATAAGCAAATATTCAAATTATTAAAAAGCTTTTCAATGTTATTGAAAGAAGCCAAGGATGGAAACCATCATGGTTTCTACCATGGTATTTAGGTTCTTCTGGACACTTTTAAATGCTGTAACCCTTTCTTTTTAAAATGGCAGCATTCTCACACATCGGGAATGGTATGTTTTGCAATCAGACTTAGGGTAAACTCTGTAGATGTCAGCCTAAATGTTGGGGGAGGGGTATGCAACTTTCCAGACTTCTTTTAGAGGGTCTGTGAAGAAAAAGAATGGGTAACTGCTACCCTAATAAGCATGGATGGAATTCCACACGGTGACATTTAGTCTGCGGTGTCAGAAAAAGACTAAAGGGGTCTTACCCGGCAAACTTGTATAACTTCAGGTTCTACTTTGGGTGCCGTGTCCTTGAGGGCTTTCCAGACCCTACAGGCAGAGGGGACCTCTCCACCTGAGACCCCAAAGTAATGCATACAGAATCTGCAGGTGGAGCGAACTGCTCCCAGGTGTGCTGCACACTTAGCGGCTCTCGTCATTGTCAGTCTACAAACACTGTGACCGTGCAACTGGGTTCTGAGCTCGTGGGAGGGAGGGTGGATTTCTCTACTTGTGTCGTGATAGTGGACAAAGCAGGTGAACAGGTACATCAAAAGAGCCAGAGAAACCTGAGCCAAGCACACCCTCATTTATGCCACAAAATAAAAGTAAAATATTAAACACCAGCGCCCGCAGTGCCCTTCGATGACAACGCCAGTGACCATTTGTTCTCTGGTCTCCCTGGAGAGGAGACATGACACTGGCCAGGCTTCTCCCTCAGTGACTCCCACCTAGGTCACCTGCCTCGGTATTAGACGATCTTCCCGGTACCTTGACTCCATGACTTAAAATACTTAATTTCCTTCAAAATTTAAGTAGCTTCTTAATAACCCCTGTGTCAAGGTCACATGCTAAGTGCCCTGTCACCATTTCAACCCCAACTTTCCAATTCTTGGCACCACAGGTTCTCCAGGTGACTCTCACTTCTGGTGGCTTTGTGTCACGCCTGCCTTTGCTCAGCCATCTTGCCTGGCCATCTGCCACAGCGATGTTCTCTCTAGGTCTTCCTGTTCAAGTCCTTGTATCTTAAAGAGAGCTACGCACTACAAGGACAATGAAGACTTCCTGAGCGACTCTGCTCTGACACCTGCTCCTTCCACATGCACCGCAGCCCTAAGCAGTAACAATCCTTACCTGGATTACTGGAGCCATGGCCTCTGTGCCGTGCTCCTCTGCCTTCCTGAGCTCTCAGAAAGCAGGGACCACGTTCACATGCAGCCTCCGTGTACGCCACGATGCTCAGTACAGAGTCAGGCCCGGCAAAGATTTCTCAAGCTCTGATGGATCCGTTCTCGATTCTCACCTGGGACCACTCCATGGCAATCCACTTGGGGCAATCGAACAGGTTGCAGGCTTGCATCACCTTGGGCTTGGGTGCGTACATGCACTTCCACTCCTCCACCTGCAGGATCTCCGCGTGCACGGACTCCTCCACGCACACGAAACTCCGCCTCTGGGTGCCCCCTCCGCACGACACGGAACACGCCGTCCAAGGATTATGTTCCCAGCTCAAAAGCAAACAAATAAGTACATCGTTTCGGTGTCACCTGCTTGTGTGTCTGTCTCAGGTTTGCAAAGATGGTTACAAAGCGCCTGCCTTCAAGGTATCCCATCGTGGCTCAGCTGGCGCTGCGTGAGACTCAGAGTCTTAAGACATTAGTGTCACCTCTACACAGGCTGTGGTCACGAGGAATTTACCTCCTCTGAACCTGAGGTTTCTATCCGATGGGACTAGCACCCCTGCCCTGGTTCCCTTCCCAGGGCCATGTGTATGTTAAAGTGATGACAAAATAAACTGTGACAGGGTCTTTCGATTGTCTCTCACAGACGCTATTTCTGGGAATCACAGAAAGTCAGTCAAAGAGCGTACTAGTCGTCTAGGTATCGAAGGGGATTCAAGTTTCTTCCAGGAAACCCTTGATGCCCCGGGGACTAGAACAGCCCCTCTGAGACGGCATCTGATTCTCAGAGGAATCGCTCTAATCATGGAGGTTGTCTTCCCGCAGCTCTCCACAGGGCTTGCTGCAAGTGCTACCGTTCCTTGCACCCCACTCAGAGTGGATGTCAGAAAGGAAGAGGAAAACCCGACTCACCGAGGGAGAGGCTGAAAGTGGTCATACGGCATAATCTCCTTAAATCCGTCACTACAAACGAAATCAGGGGAACAGTTATCATTTCCAAATTGATTGACGCGTTTACTAACTGACTGGCTCAGCTTCTTCCAATTGAAAACTAAGACTGCAAAGGGTCATGAACCATTCTCCAAAATTCAATCAACATTTCTTTAATTTTCAGGAACAATCCTGACTGTGGGGTGTAGTAGTGTATACCTGTAAACCCAGCAACTCAGGAGGCAGCGATCAGAAGGATAGGGGTTCAAGACCAGCCTGGGCAAAAAGTTGGTAAGCCTCTACTTTAAAGAGCAAACTAGGGATGGGGGTACAGACCCGTGACCCCAGCTGATGGGAAGGACAGATAGGAGGCCCATGGTCTAAGGCCAGCCCTGGACAAAAAAAATTGGAGACCCTACCTGGAAAAGAGCTAAAACAAAAAGGGCTGGGAGGTGGCTCAGTGGTAGAGCGCCTGCCTAGCAAGCTCAAGTGCCTAAGTTCAACCCCAAAAATAAATTTAAAAAGAATTTAAAAAGAAATTTAAAAAGAAAAAACCCTGACACAGAACGTTCTCCAGCCGAGTATGAAAAATACAGAAAGCCAAACTAGTGGTTTATTAATTGAAGGAAAAAATTCTGTTAACGTAGCTAAATCCCTTTTTTCTTCATTATTCTGACGAACGTGTTGATGGTACTGACGCACTATCATGTGCGTAGACTCCAGAAAACCACTCTGTGCCACAGAATTTGTCCTCTGAACGGTTCAACCAGGATCGAAAATCACCAGCTGGGAGGCGTCTGGGGGACCTGGGCCTTGACACTGGGTTGTTATTTTGAGATTCTGTCGCAGAGCCAGGAAACTTCCCCAGGCCATCCAAGTCCGCAGGTACTAAGTCGTGCCCCCGGACGCTTTGTGCGGGCTTTTCTGATTTGGATGAAGCCCCTGGGCTTCCTTCCACTGTGCGTTATTTATACAGAATTTAACGTGAGCCCTGCACGAGTCAAACGCTGCCAGGGGTGACCCAACTTTAAGTCTAAAATGACGACCGAAAGATATTACGACTGGGCACCGTCCCGGGACGAAGAGAGATTTTCTAGTGTCCGGGCGAGAATTGCTCCTAGGGGCTCAATTACAACGAGCTATGGCCACGGAATCCCACGACACGAGAGGACAAGCTCCAGTGACCGGATGAGCAAATGTCCATGACCACGGCTGTAAATGGGAACACAGGCACCTGCCATGGCGTATGTTCAAAAGTCAGGCATGGAAATGGATTGTGACATAAGATTACACTTAATTTGTTTATTTCAAAGCTTTATTTATTTGTTTTTGGTGGTACTGGGGGTTGAACTCAGAGCCTTGCGCTTGCTAGGAGGTCACTCCACCACTTGAGGTGGGCCTCCAGCCCTTTTTGCTTCAGTTATTTTGGGACTAGGATCTCAAATTTATGCCCAGGGCTCCTTGGACCTTGATCTCCTGATCTCTGCCTTCCGAGTGGCTGGGATTACAGGTGTGGCCACCACACCCAGCCAAGTTACGTTGGAAGTGAAAGTGGGCACTCGCACAAACCTTGATGGGCAGGGGTCCATGCTGCACTCCTTGAGTTTGGGTTTGGGCTTCACGTTTTCAGGGTAGTAATGGCAGTAGTGGTCAGGAACCACCCTGTTCAAACGGATGTCCACACACTCAGCAGAGTTGAGCTGATAACCTGGACACACGGGGGAAGAGGACCTTTTTCAGACAATCTGTTTCATATTTTCTTGACAAAGGTATTGCTTGCCACACACTGTTTTTTCCTTGTTAAAAAAGACAAAAACAAAATACAACAACAACAAAAAACTGAACTCGATGGTTCAGAAGAGAACCACGTGGATTTTCACCAGCGCCCAGCTCCCTTTCCTTTGTGGTCAGTGCAGTCAGAAACTCTGCAGCTGAGCTCCAGGGAACGAGTGCTTTTCTTTAAAAAAAAAAAAAAAAAAGACTCCCAGGATCTTCAAAGATGACCAAAAGTGGGGTGTGGAGTGAGCCCTGCACCTTGAGCTGCCAGTGATCCTCCCAGTGCTTCAGCCCACAGGTAAAACAGAAATGTCTGGACGCCAGTGCAGTTTGGCTAGACACCCTCCTGGGCTGCTATCATAGGTCATATGTCCTCTCTACTGTTTCCGGATACTTCTGACCTTTTGCCCTTCAGAGACACCATTCCAATTTACTGCTCATACGTCCTTCCATCTGCAACCGTGTGAGGTGATGTTTTTGCGTGTCTCTTCTTAACTTAATCAATGGTGGTTTGTTTTCTTTGTTGTGGCACCGGGCAAGTGTCCTACAGCTGAGCTAGATCCTCCAAGCCCCCATCCAGCCCCCAACGCTGATGCTTTAGATTCAGTTACATTTCTACCTTTCCCTGGACTCTGTTTACTGACTGCTCCCTTTGTGCTGGGTTGGGGATGTCTTTCACAAAATTCAGTGTTTTCGTTCACTGCTGCCCTGGGCAGCGAGCGTACCTGCCACGGCTGCCAGTCTTCCTATGGGGGACAAGACATCGTCAGTACAGGGAAGGACAAATGCATCTCCCAGCGTCCTGGCCAGCTCTGCCACACGCTTTCAAAGGGGAGGAAGGAGGTCCTTATTCCTGAATCTATTAAATTCAGTTTGTACCATCTTTAGAGAAAGAACATTCTGAGCAGATGGGTGCCAGAAATTCAAGAAAACAACTCGCAAATGACACTTTCCTTTCCCGAAAGATCTGACTCCAGCTTTCCTGTCACCACATAAATGTCATGTTGGGTTAATATATATATATATATATTTTTTTTCTTCTTTTTTGGAAAGGTAGTTTTTCAAAGCTAGAATGAGCTCTTTAAGAAAAATAATGCAGTCTGAAGCTAAGCTCTCCATCTCTGCCAGTTGGTTTGAAGGTCTAAAAATACACTTCAGTCCCGATTGCCAAGAGGAATCTGAATTCCAAAACCCTCAGACCCGGCTTGGATGCGAGCTGAGTGGAAAAGGGCTGTGTGCGTTACTAAAAGCAAGGTCAAGACCACAAGAACGAAAATCCAAAGGGAGGCAATAAAATGGTACGGGGGCGCCATGTCTGCCAGAAAGTCTGCCGTGTCCGATGGCCTTGGGGACCTCGCCACCTTCTCCAGCTGATCTCAGGCGTCCCAGGTGGGTCACCACAGAGCAGACCAGGACAGTTCTACCCCACTGCCCCAGGCCCTGTGCAACCCCACAGACCACCTAACTGCCTTGATGAGTCCAAATCTGTGAAACGCCATGCACACAAACCACGAGGATGTGATCACTAAGGAAATTAAATGTGGGTGATGTTTTCCTGTGCTTTTACGTGTTTTTATTCTCCCCCCGACCCCGACCCAACAAGTGTGGAATGAGATTACAGCTCAACTCAGAGACAATCTGCGTCCTCAGCAGAAGCACGTTTCTTAGAGCGGGTAGGTGTACAGGTTTAGAATTTGGGGAAGAATTACTCCCTCTTTGATTTCAGGGCAGTGTAGAGATAACTCGCAGCAAAGACATAAGGCAGATTGTCTCCAATGTTGTGAACGAATGGATTGAAATTCTGCCAGTGTGCAGAAAATGGCAGCCCGCCCCCAGCAGCCCTGAAGCTCTCTCTGTTCCCACACCCACCTTTTATTTGCACACCCCCCTTCACTCCCATTTTGGGGTCGATGAGAGCCTGCTGGCCCTGGAACTGTGGCCCCAGCTGCCTCTAAGGAGGTGGGTACAATGTCAGTCTGTAAGTCTGTCCCCTTGCCCTGAGCACCCTCCATTGTGCCAACCGTGTCGTGTGCACCACTGGCTGGTGGCCAGCGTAACTGAGGACGCCAGCGGGGGGGGGGGGACGGGCACGAATTGGACACTGTGACAACATGCAGGTTTAGATTCCTTTTGCTCCGAGTGTCCCGAGTGCTCCCAGGGGCCAGGCACCGCACGCACTCGGATCTCTGACATACATCGGTCGTCTCACTTCGTCTCACAGATCTCTGTGAGGGGGACAGTCCTTTGTACAGAGGAAACTGTGGCACACAGATTCTCAGGGTTATTGTGGAGCCACCTAGAAGTGAGTCCAAACCCTCCAACTCCAACGTCCCCACTTACCCCACGAGGCCATGCTGCCTCTTTTTTGTGGTCATATTTTTTAGGTTCTGGGAATTGAACCCAGGGCCTTGCGCAGGCTTTGGCAAGAACTCCAACGCTGAGCTGTGCCCATAGCCCCCAGGCTGCCTCCTGAGATGAGCCCAACATCACACTGTAGGGAACAGGATGGGCCCCAAAGTGTCTGAGACTCAGGCAGAGAGAGATTTGCTGGGTTTGCCCAGCTCACAGCCTCTGCTCCAAACGTCTTTCCCTCAGTCAGCTTTCACGGAGGCCAAACACGTCTGAGAATTTCCCTCAAAGCCTCCTGGGGGCCACTGACCTAAGAGATCTAAAGGGGCTTTTGCCTCATAAAAACGTTCATCATGCTCGAGAAAATGCAGAAGAAGTGGAAACTAAACAGAGACCATTTGGGCTGGCAGGAGCCAAAGATTACTCAGCTGTTCTGTTTCATTGTATTTGCTTTTCTGAGATTGGGTTCTATTTATGGCAAGACAAGATAACCTTCCACTTCAGGTAGTAAAATTAAATTCCTTTTGTAAATATGTTTATTTAAGTTTTTACAGAGGACTCCTTGAGTAAAAAATAGTGCACGGCAAAATGCACCATATGGCAGAATGGTGACGCTGATATGGCTACAGTCGACATCCCAAGACATGGCTTTACAGAGGTGGCGCTCTTAGTGCGGAGACACCAGCAGCCCCTGGGGGCCACCACACACATGCCCTGGCCCTGTCCTGGGAGTTTCTGACTCAGTGGGTCCAGTGCATGTCTAGCACTGGTTCCTGGGAGATCTGATGCCCCTGGTGCAGGCCCCACACTGCTGTAGGGTCATCACCAAGTGGTCTGTCCCCATGTCTTCCCTAGAAAAAAACTGCACCATAACTGGGAAGACCCACTCCTTGCTTTCATTCCAGGGGCCTGTTCAGCCCTCAAACTAGTCCTCTTCCCTTCCCAGGGCACAGCTCCCGCTGGGGTCTTGGTTGACAAGTGCTCACAAAAGTGCCTGCTTCCTCATTTGGAGACGCATAAGCCCGGCAGAGAGAGGCCGGGCCTGCCCATTCCCGGGAGCCCACCAAGTACACCTGTAGTTTAAAGGCGGGAGGCCAGAACTTTACTTATTCCTGAGTCAGATGATATTCTGCAATCTTCAAGGGAAGAAATGATTTGAGGCTGGGCTGGGCCAAAGGAAAGGGATTTATTCCAGCTCTTCACACCATGTCTGAGCCATGTCCCCAACCTGGTCACAGGTGTAGTAGGCAGATCAGGGACACAGCCCAGAGTCATTAGAGCTCAGCTCTGGCCGTCAAACAGGTCCAGACCTGGATCCTTGCTGCCCTACTCACCAGTCAAGTAACCTGGAGCAGCTTCTGAACCCTCACCTCGCTCGTGCATAAAACGGGCACAAAACAGACCTTCTTAGGGTGTTTTTTGAAGATGATGACAGGCACCTAGCCGGATGGGTTGCAAGTGCCCAGTACCACTGCCTGGTACTGTTGGGGGAACTGTGCAATCCCCCAAGTCCTCTGAACATCCCGGTACCTCATGGCTGGCTGCTGGGTTGGCTGTACCAGAACCATTTACTCTTCTGTTACAAAGGTCAGCTCAGAAAAAGAGAGCTATGTAGACAGTGGTTCTGGTCACCTCCTTGTTCCAGAGCCATTGCCTCTCCAGTGTGTAGACTGCTAGCCACTGAAAAGACCTTTTTCTTTTCTGTAGTGTGTGGTGAGCCTTAGATTATATTTGCCCCTAAACCTCTTCAGCTGCCTAGGCAAACCATGGACTAAGCAGACACACAGGGCTCTCTCCTTATCACTCAGTAGAGACCCCTTCTCTTTTGGGTACGTTTATAGTAACTATGGTGAACCCAATGTTAGGAGGAACACATTCTTGAGCTTTCCATAGGAAAAAATAATGCAGGATTCCAAATTCAGATTCAGATTCAGATTTTAGACTCTCAGATTCAGATTCAAGAAGAATCGAGAGCACATGCAAACATGTCTTCAGAGTTTGGCTAAGAGTGAAGGGTGTTTTCACCCGCCTTCCAGAATAAGGGCAAATGCACCCTCACCCAGCACCACTGTGTCCAAGGTGCACGGTCAGGTGCCGCAGATTCGACCTCAGCTTCTTAAATGACCACACCAATCTTAAAATCCATTTCAAAAATGCACGTGTGTAGTTTCTAAGTCAGAACTCTATTCCTGAATGCCATTGGTACCTCACCTCCTCCACAGGTCACGGTGCAGGGAAAGAAGTCGGTTTGCCTCCACTGGTGGCTGATGGGCTGGTAGAAGAAGAACTGGACCACGCTGTCTTTGGCCACGGGGTACCTGGTCTGGACAGAGAGAACACAGCAGCACATTTGCACACGGTGAGATAAGTAAGAGATAAATACCCTTCCACTCTCCAGCAACCCACGCGCCTCACGGTAAGCCACAGTACGTGAGGATTTCCTGGGTTTTAAGACGTGTCACGGGTGAGTCACTCAGACTGGCCATAAATGGAGGCATGGGTCCACAGCAAATCTCCCAGGAGGCTTTACGCTGCGCCATTCCAGGCCTGTGAATGGGTCCATGAAAATATATGTTGTGGTTTACTTAGTTCACATTTTTTTCCTTCCTGAAACATTTGATTTTAATTTCCAGGAGAACAGAAATTGAGACTTGATTTGGGATTGCTGACATAACTGGATCCTTACATTTTTATTAGTAAGCAGCCCTTTCTGAAAATCTTTCTGGATGCACAGCTGGGAAACACCTCGAGGGCACCCAACACCGAGCGCCCCTGCCTGAGCGTCTGTGTCTAGTTGGCAGGGACGGGCATCGGGACGGTGACAGGTGCAGACAGAGGCAAATCTCCTCGGGTGACTCTACTCAAACTGCAAGCTCTTTTCCTGTTTTTTTCCCTTTTCTTCCCTACTGACTGCAAAACCACAGGAAGTAAGGGAAACTCCCAGACTGCAACACAAAAGGACGAAAAGTAAAAAGTTAAGCTCACAGGACACAGATCCAGAAATGTGACACACATATGGAATTCAGGACTGTATATTATATAAGAATGAATATAGGATTTTTAGACCTGTTGTAATCACCATACGGTGACTAAGGTAGAAAGAAGGAAAATGGAGGGGATGAACCAATTCGGGTTATAATGCATAATACATGGAAATGTCACAAGGAAACTCCCTGTAGACCTATCTCAAACAAACAAAAATGTCTTTTTCTAAAGGTAAAGTAAAGTTTTACAGGAAGGTAAAACAAGGTCTGTCTGGGGGTTGGTACCAGTGAGAGGGGAGAGGATATAAGGAAAGGGTGTAGGAGGATGAATATGGTGGAATATTATGTACTCATGAATGAAAATTGAAAAATGAGACCTGGTGAAACTATCCAGGAATGGGGGAGGAGGATGAAGGAGAATGACGGCGGGATGAATTTGGCTATGACTTATTGTAAGCACTTTTGTAAATGTCACATGTACCCCCAGTACAACACTAATAGTAATTTTTAAAAGAGGAAAATTACACAGAGAGCGACCTTCAGTGCTCTTGTCACAGGTGTGGTGAGGACGGAGTAGCACAGATGTTGACTGGGTGTACTGGGTGTTCCACAGTGTCACAGATGCCATGTTACCCACCCGGAAATACACACGGGTTTTATTTGTCAGCTAAAGCATTTTTAAAGGTTAACAACCTCTGAAAACATAATCTGTTAGCAAAACCAAGAAAGAAATATTATGATGAGGAGAACACAACAATAAAAATGGTGATGCTAAAGGAGAAAATTCCATGAAATGAGAAAATACTGTGCTACATTGACTGGACCAAACAGATTGCAAAGTCACAGAGGTTAATTTTTAGAGAAAAAATTTTCAAAGATTACCAATGAATCTGCCACAGTACCACTTAAAATGCAGGCAATAGAGAGAAAAGTGAAAAGGCGATATTTAATCACACAACTGAGGATCTCCTAGACCTTCATAAGACAGGAGTCCTTGGTTTTTAAATACTAGTTGAGTCCTGAGCAGGCATTTAAAAAATGTAACCAAGTTACAGAAAAATCCTAAAAGTCACTCAAAAGCAAATATATGATTACCTACAAAGATGGGAACACCAGGTTGGCATCAGATTTCCCAGAGTTGACATCACTAACGCCTGTCTCCAAAGTGAAGAAGGACAAGAATTTTGGCTCTAGAATTCTATCATCAAACCGAACCAGTGATCAATCATCAGATCAACAACAATGAATCAGTGAAATAAAGATCTTTGCAAACAAAATTATTCTGAACTATTACCACTTGGAGATGCTCACTGGTTAATTTTTTTTTTTTAATTACAGGATTACTGAACAAGAACTAATATAAATACAGAAGAATTCTGTGAGCTTCAAGAAGCAATAACAGCTAAAATAATAAAGCTGATGTGTGAATCTGAAGACAGGTTGATTGAAAAATAATAGTTTGATGTATTTGATTATAAGATGGGATAAAAACTCCAGACTGGGGATGTGTATGGAGGGAGACAGAGGCAGAGCCGGGGGTGAGACATTTCTCTACTTAAAACTTCTCCACGACCCTTTCCCACGCAGCCCTGGCTTTGTGTCCTGTTTCCCCACTGGGGAGCCAGCAATGCCTCCTGCTGTTCCCAGGGTCATAAAATCAGCATTGGCACAAAGCTTTTGCCTTGGGCTCTGTTTGCAGAGCACCTAAGATACCATGATTAAAATGTTCAAGAAATTAAATGACAGAATGTAGACTTGCACAAGAAACAGAGACAAAAATGAAATGATAAAAGCAAATAGTGCAACGATTGGCGTGAGCAGTAAAGAGACTGGGGTTTAGTAAATATTTTCTTAAGGAATCAAACACTGGACATTTTGGGTTTTTCAGGCTATATGGTCTCATTGTAGGAAAACTTTACAAAAACAGGTGAATGGCCCCTTGGATTAAGCACACCGCGCAGAGAGTGAGTAAAATGACAGAGAAGAAAGTGGAAATTGGACTTAGTGGGTAAAGCGGAAAGTTGCAATCCCATAGACAGGAAACAAAGGGCTTGGGACAGGAGGTAATCTGAAGGGGTAGCAAATGTAAATCACTCCAAACTGATGATGGTGTGTGTCTGTCATGCCAGAGGCTTGTGAGACACTATGGACCTGCAGCTGAAGAAAGCCACTAATTACATCTATGAAAACCAAAACAAAGAGAGTTTAAAACACACGCAGACAAAGAAAAAAGATGCCTGTCACCTTCTAAGGGACAAAAGTCAGATAGCTGACTCTGCAACAGAGTAAATGAAACCAGAAAACAATGGAGAGAGAGCTTCAAAGAAAAGAGTCTCCTAAGGATGAATGAGTCAAGTCATGAGGACAATGACTGAAAACACGGCCTCAACTATGCCATGCCAATGTTTAAAGGAAATGTTAAAAGAAAAGTAAACAAAAGCAGATCCCAGTGGATCTCTCACGATGAGTGTAACTTGAATAACAGAATTAATAGCCATGACCTATTATGTAAAACATTGTATCCAGCAATGGATACGTTGTGTTGTTCTAGAATTTACTAGATTCTGAGCCACAGCCATTTTTTCACATCTCAAAAGATTCGAATAATATGGAGTATGTTCTTTGACCACAGTTGAATTAAATACAGTCCTGAAATGTAAGGGATTACAGAAAATCCCTCATGTGGCAATGTTACACCTCTCAACAACTCACACATCCAAGAACATAGCACTAAGAATACGACAAAATAACTGAATGACAAATAAAAATAGTTCATGTGAAATTAAATATAACACATTCTGCTTTGAAATTTATGGACTTATATGCGCAGGCTATAAGAAAAAAGGGACAAAAATCCACAAGGTAAGCATCAAGAGGTTAGGAAAAGAATAACACATTGAATCCAGAGAAAGTGGGATTAAAATATAAAGACAAGAACTGACATTAATGAAACAGAAAGAAAACTAGATTAAAGAGAGTTATAAAAACAAAAATTACTTCCACGAAAAGTCTAATAAAATTGACAACCCTCCAATAGGACTTACAAGGAAAAAGGAGGGGACCAAAAATAAGAATAAGAAAGAAAGAGGACTCCAGATATCAAGAGGATACTATGAAATATCCAGTCAGCTCTTTAGTGTGATGGAAAGAAATTCCTTAGAACAAACCGACCTCAGGAGAAATTTTTTAAAATCTCAAGAGTCCTGGATCTTTCAAAGACACGGACTGTGTAATTCTGAAAATCTCCTTCACATTAAGTCTGTTGGTTTTGTGTTTGTGTTGTGATAACCAAGCAGAGATAACGATGAATGTTATCCCTCAAGGGAAACCTCCCTGTGCTATGGCTTCCTGAGGTTTGTATGCTCACACGTTGTATAAATGACTCCCATTTATTCCATAGTGAAAATACAAGGATAACAGGGAGAGAAAACGTTAGCAAGCCTGGTGGGTGACCTTGACATTGAGGTGGTCACTTGACCTTGAGGTGGCTGGGACAAAGCTTGACATAGTCACAAACTTCTTCCTTGTACAGGAACACAATGCACAAGTGATAACCTCAGGTTTTTACTAAAGAAATTTAAATGAAATTTAAATTATCCCATAGATGTGTCATTGCTGTCACAAATACCAACTTTGTGACCCAAATTAAGAAAACTTGCACTGAATTTTAAACAGAAACAACATGACCCATTTACCTAGCTTTCTTTGAGACATATATTCCATCTGAAAGCATCATTTGAGAACAAATGTTGGTGAAAGGACACAAATTACATGGTTATGAAAGAAATCCACTCAGTCCATACATTTTCCTACTGAAAGTTTGAATTATAATTCTGATAAAATCTCATTCAATACTGTTCTTCACAGAGTGTCCTTAAAAGATAGGTAGCTATTTAAAGCTTTATTAATAAAAATATCTTTCCTTGGGGGAAAATCTGTATTTTTGTTGAGTTTTAATCCGAGGAAGACCCTTGTGTTTGAATGTTTGTCCTTCACATCCCAAGGACACTGACATTACACTGCATTCTTTTAGGTAGCAAAGGAGGCAAAATAGGAGAAACAAGATTTTCTTTCAAATAAAAAAAAATACTAACTAAATATATAAAACTCCTCCCTCCAATACCTTTAGAAAAATCAAGTTCTGAATCTTTTATTTGTTTGGTTTGGTTTTTTGAGACCTGGTCTTGCTGTGTAGCCCAGGCTGGCCTCAAACTCACGTGCTTCCTGTCTCAGCATCCCAAGGGCTGGGATTACAGAAGTGTACCACCATGCCTAGCTTTGGGTTTTATTTTATTATTATTAGGATGTATTTGTTTTATAGGGGGATTCACAGTGACAA